TTGCATCAAGATTTTGGCACCGTTGCATAGCGGGGTTAACTATATAATTTTTACACAACTATATTTCACTCGGGATTAACAACTAGTCGTGGCACCAAAATCGCTCAACTAAGCATAAATAAAAATTAGCACACCAAGGCGCCAAGATCGCTTGGTCTCTTCTAAATGCTAAAAAGTGCTCTCCATGGTACCAAGATAACATGGCTGATCACAAATAAAAGATCGACAGACGCGCTAAGATAGCCGACCTCGCTTAAATGTTTAAGACTTTAAACTGTGGTGCGAAGGTCGTCTAGTTGAGCATAAATTGAAGATCAACAGACTACAAAACCAAGATTGCCCGACCTCACCTAAATGCTAAAGAATGCCAGCTGTGGCACCAACATTGTTCGATTGGGCACAAATTAAAGAACGACAGACAACGGCACCAAATCGACCAATCTTAACTAAATGCTGAAGACTATCAGTCATGGCGCCAAGATAACCCAGCTAAGCACATAATAAAAATTGGTAAACTAGGGCGCCAGTTCACCTGGTCCAGCTTGGGGCATGAATACTACCACGCATGGAGCCAAGATTGTCAGGCTGAGCACACATTGAAGATTAACATACTTTGGCACTAATACAACCCGACCTCGCCTAAATGCTGAAGAGTGTAAGCCGTGCCACCAATATTGCTTGACTTATGACAAATCAAAGATCTACAGATCATTACACCAAGAATCTCTGGCCCACATGAAGACCACCAGTCGTGACTGTGCACAAATTGAAAATCAACATACCATGTCACCAAGATCGCCCAACCTTGCATAAGTGTTGTATACTACCATTCATGGTGCCAAGATCGTTTGACTGAGCAAAATCAGAGATCGACGGATCGTGGTACCAAGATCATTTGATCCAACATGAGACATGAATACTGGTAGCCGTGGAGCCGAGATCATCCAACTGATCCTAAATTGAAGATCGACAGATCGTGGAAATAAGATTTTTCAACCAAGAAGAAATTGATGATCGGTAGCCGTGGAGCTAAGATTGCTCAATTCAGGCTGAGACATGAAGATCATGAGTTGTGGCACCAAAAGCCCCCAGCTAGGCACAAATCAAGGATCAGTAGACTGTGGCACCAAGATCAACTGACTTGGGCTAAATGCTGAAGACTTCCAGCTGTGGCATCAAGATGTTCCGATTGAGCACAAATTAAAGATCGGTTGATCATGACGCCAAGATCTCCTGGCGTCACCTAAATATTGAAGAATGTCAGTCGTGGCCCCAAGTTCACCCGACTGAGCACAAATCAAAGACCAGCAGATCGTAGTGCCAAGATAGGCCTGGTACAATCAGGGGAATGAAGACAAGTAAATATGGTGCTAAGCTCACTCGACTGAGTGCAAATCGAAGACCAGTGAACTATGGTGCCAGGATTGCCTGATTTAGTTTGAGGAATGAAGATAGCTTGTTGTTGCACCAAGATTGCCCAATTGAGCACAAATCAAGGACCGATAGCTGTGGTGTCAAGATCACGCGATTTGACCCAAATTATGAGATGACCAACTTTGGTGCCAAGGTTGCTCGACTGAATCTAACTTGAAGACCAATAAACTATGGAGTCAAGCTTGTCCAGTCCAACTCGGGGAATGAAGATAGTCAACCATGGAGAAAAGATCGCCCCACTGAGTGCAAATTGAAGACTGATAGACCATGGCTCCAAGATCCCCTAGTTTGATTCAGAGAATGAAGTTAGCTAGTTGTAGCGCTAAGATCGTTTGGCTGAGGTCAAATCAAATATCAGTAGACCGTAGGGCCAAGTTTACCTGATCTGACCCTAGAAATGAAGACTACTAGCTGTGATGCCAAAATCTCCTTATTGAGCACAAATCAAAGACTAACAGATCATGGCACCAAAATTGCTCGGGCCAACCCAGAGAATGAAGACAACTAGTAATGGTGCCAAGATCGCTTGGCTGAGTGCAAATCAAAAATTGGTAGACCACAGCGTCAAGATTGCTGGGGTCTGATTCCAAGAATGAAGACTGCCAACCGTGGAACTAAGATCACCCGACTGAATATTAGTCAAAGACTGATATATCGTGGTGCAACGATTGCCCAGTATGACTCAATGAATGAAGACTATCAATTGTAGTGCCAAGATTGCCCGACTGAGAACCAATCAAAGATCGACATACCATAGTGCTAAGCTCACCCTATCTGACCCAAAAAATAAAGATTGCAACTGTGATGCCAAGATCGTATAGCTAAGCATGAATCAAAGACTGATAGAGTGAGATGCCAAGATTGTCCGACCTAGCCTAAATGCTTAAGACAACAGCTGTGACGCTGAGATCGATCAACTGAGCATGAATAAAAAACCAACATATTGTGGCCATGATCGCCCTTTCTGGCCTAAAAATGAAGACAGCAGCCATGGCACTAAGATCATTTGGTTGAGCACAAATCGATGATCGACAGAACGTGGCACCAAGATTGTTTGGTCCAACCTGAAAAATGAGGACTATAAACAATGTTACCAAGATTACCAGCAGAGCATAAATTGAAGATCGACTGCTTTCGTGATCATCTTTTATATCACGACTTGTAAGTCTCGACCTAACAGGTTGGAATCGCCTCTAATTCAGACTAGGGCCCTTGGAGAGGGCCAACAGTCCTTAAGTGTCTCATCCTGGATTATGCTAGGTTCAACCAGACGACTAATCACATCCTCTTCACTACTGGGCCGTCTCTTCAGAGCTGAAACTATTTGTAAGATTGGATCACCATCACCAATGCTAGCTGATAAAGGTCCAATGCAAGGATCCCCATCTATGTAAAAAAAAAAAGACACCAGCAAGCATCAAGCTAAGAGGGAAGCAAGGAAAGAGAGAACATTTTTACTCAGGTTTTGAATCATTTTGAACCACATTGTTCTACCCTCATCAAAGGATGGAAAGTCATCTACCAACAACATACCACCTAATAGAAGGATATCTCTTCCGACTCATTGAGTATCAGGTAGGAGAGGGATATTTGATGTAGTTGGTTGAAGCTAAGCTTCAAAGGGAGTTCTCATCGGTGGATCAATAGTTGAAACCCCCCATTCTTCACCAAACTGCAATAAAGCCCTCCTCGGAGTACCACAAATCAAAGTCGTTCCACCCTTAATTCCTCAATTGATTTTGACTTTGTGATCTGATCTCGAGAATGATTAACACCTTGTCCTTATTAGTGGGTTTTAGCAAAGAGTCAGATACTTTCACCAAACCAAAGAAACAAAAAACAAACAGAGATCTAGAAGGGAAACAAATTCGAGATGAAGAAGTTGCGCCTTACGAGTGCCCAATATATAATGATTATTGACACAAAATCCTAGGGAGTCTATTTATGATATTAATGAATAAATATTGATATAAGATTTGTTTTACCTTTAAAAGAATTTCCTTATATTTGTTGCAATTTTTATTATCAAAAGACAAGAAAATTAGAAAACTTAATATGTACTTAAAAATGAGCCAACACGAATCACAAAGACATCTCATGGATGAGGCAAGAGGTGACATAGTCTCGCGGGTCCCAGTAATGGTGATCTAGGTTTACATGCTCAACTGGCCAGTTCCTTGTATCATGTAAACGATGTGCCTCTGATGGAAAAGGAAAGAATCACTCTTGAAGATTCCAACTAACCGGATCAATTTGTTCTTGCCCATCACCTTCCAACTCGGATAGATTGGGAAGGAGAAACATGCCCTCAAACTCCAGGACAGTTGATATGGATTTTCGGCAAGTAGTTGCCCAACCAAGTAGTCACCCAAACACACACCCGCCCGGGCTTATTGCCATCCGACCTAATGATAGTCGACCGACCACATCTCTGAGCTCTACAGGCCATATTTATGTACGAGCTAAAATACACATACAGTACTTACAATACTTTAGGGGTACAATATGTAATTAAACGATGACCCATTCCTATAAATAAGATGTCCACATCATAAATAAAGGTTACACAATTAGTTTTCATTAATGTGGCA